TATAAGAGACAGTTACTGTATTGTGTGACATTTTATATTTTCATAAAATAAATTTTAATTCTGTACAGTTGAATTATTTTCTATGAAAGGAATACTATTTATTAACATATATTAATTTTTTTACATACGTTTACGTGTAACATTATAAACGTATGTAAAAAAATTAATATATGTTAATAAATAGTATTCCTTTCATAGAAAATAATTCAACTGTACAGAATTGTAACGAATGAATGTAACGTATATAACGTTAGTATTTATACAAAATTTATTATTGTATTTTTATAAATTTTTTCTATAAAAATGTATTATTATACAAGTACATATTATTATAGTAAAAATTTCATAGAAGTTTAATGTAAAAAACATTATTTATAAAACGATATTACTGTATTGTGTGACATTTTATATTTTCATAAAATAAATTTAAATTCTGTACAATTGAATTATTTTCTATGAAAGGAATACTATTTTTAACATATATTAATTTTTTTACATACGTTTACGTGTAACGTATATAACGTTAGTATTTATACTCTCGTTATTTTATAATAAGCTATTATATAAAAAATCAGAAAAAGCTGAAGGAGCTGCAGATTACAAAGTTGCATAATGCCATGATTATACACGATCGGTCGGTAATAATACTTGCACGAAATAATGGACAGCAAGCAGAGAGAAGTAATATGATTTAATAACATCTGATAGAAGTAATAATGTATAAGCGCCACTCATCGCATAAAGTTCTTTTCGCATGATAATCAAACGGTTCAAAGTTCTAAACATTTATTTGCAAAGGAAAATACGCAGATCGGAAAAATCCATAGACCACAATAGACGTTTCCTTCCTCGGAGAGGCATGTTTATTCGTTATCCTTTGAAACTAATCTATATCTCCACACAAAAAATAAGAGTTGCAAATACAAATCTATTGGGCCCGCGTCCGTCGTATTGAGATTTACGACAAATCTTTCACATTGTTCGCATACATTCAGTTTCTTTATTCCAAGCGGATGTCGTAAATTTAATAACTTAGGTCTTAGTGACTTTCGTATACGGAGTTCTTTATAGAGCTCCCTTCTTTTTAATGAGAACGAAATGTGTAGCTTACAGGAAAGTTTTTGTTCCATAAATATATCAACGGAAATATATAACAGTCAGTCTTTTATCAGTATTTCTCAAATTTATGCTGTATACAATTTTTTGTTTACTTAAAATTAGTTATACCCATTTTTACTTTGATGATAAACTATGATACTTTTAATTCACATCTGCCTAACTGGCCCCCTCAATTAACTGAAATTTAACGAATAACTTATGTAATGCGCAATTATGCGCTTTCAAAATCCACCAAAAAAAAATTTTGCACCCATTTCGTTTAATCAAAAAAATCAAGCTAGGAAGACGTTTTTAATTTTAATTAATCTCAAATTCTTAAGTGTCACACTTTCATAGCGTTATTATTATACGTATATTTTCTAAATTGCATTAATCCGACAAAACAAATGCATATTTTATTAACTTTTATTATACAATTTTATGGCGTTATTGTAATATATGTATATGTATGCATATATATATTTTCTAAATTGCATTGCTCTGTGACAAAGCAAATCGTATAATTTTTGACATTAAAACCACAGTATAATTGATATTATTGACATAATTAATATATCAAAATTCAGTGCAACGTTAAAGAAAATATACGACATAACTGCAAATTTCATTTTACGCGAAATATCGTATATTTATAAAGAAAATTGCAATTATTTTAGCAAATATATTTTTCGGAATACAAGAAAATGTGCTGACCTATATGCATCAAACTCAAAGCTGCACAACATAAAATGCACTTTTATTTTTACAAACAACTCTATGTAGGTATATAGAGTTCTTTGTAAAAGTCCATAAAAGAATTAAAATGTCAAAAAGTGACAAAATAATGTAAACACAAGCAATATTCTCATGGTCGAGGATATGCTTTTGTTTTTAAATCAATTAATATACACACGATCGCGTAATACCTACCAAACGATTTAACGTATTTTACAAAAAAAAAACCGTGTCGACAAGTGATGCAAATAAATAACAATGCGAAAACTGTAACAAAAAATAAAAGATTTGAATTATTAAATGCATGAATTCTTATCGGAAAATTGAATTATAAAACAATTGATGTCGTGATATTCTCACTTACGTAAAAAAAAATCCATATTTTACTCCATAAAAATGCACAAGCCATTATAATGCGACGGAAAATGCACCGGTCATTCTGCACTCGCTTTAAATAACGACGTACTTAAAACAGAAGTAGTTCAAAGTGCCACAGCGTGTGGCCTACGTTAGTGATTTCCGCTTCAGGACAAGCCGATATTACGTAATAACGTAATGCAATAAATTGAATTGAATTTTATATATCAACACAAATTTCACATTTTGCGATCTCATTAATTCGACATATCCCATCTAATGCAAGTTATTAATTCCACTGCGATATTAATAGAACGTGCGTGTACAGTCCCGCGGTTTATTTATCGTTATCGATTCACGCGCGAAAGAGAGATCTTTGCCCCCGCGTGGAAATATTAAATTTATCCGAAATAAATTTATCCAATGCCATCCTACACGTTTATTCCTATCGTCAAAAGTGAAAGATTTATAGGGCATTTGTCGGTTTGCATTTAGTGCATATTTATAGATTTTATAGTGCGTTATGAAAGCAGTGGAAATCTTTTCGACATGCCCGCACGCTCCCGGCCGTGACACTTGATTCAATATACTATTAATCTTAGTTAGCTACTTGACGTCAGTTAGCCACTTAGAACGTGAGTTTTCAAAAAATTGTTTGAGATTATAAATACATTATGTCGACTGATGTTATTTAAAAAAAATTAGAATAATAATAGTGATATACTGGAGGAATAATAATGACGATACTTTATTTTCAAAGATTCGAAGGACATACACGTAGCAATAATATATATCGTTTGTACATCGCCGCGTTGATAAAATTTAATACATTAAGTATAAATTGGCTTGTGATTAATTACCTATTTTGGTACTAAAAACACTGGTGCTTTTTTAATATTTAAAACAAGTAATTAATCACTGACCAATTTTATACTTATGGTATTAAATTTCCCTAAGAAAAGCGACATTTCCACTCTTCGACGGTAACACTGAGAAAAATTTTCAAGCTTTTTTCGCTCAAAAAGATCTTATCCTCTTAAAAAATGACAAACGGATATTTACGGTTAACTTGGTCGGATCAAAAATCCGATTACTATAGTTCATCGGAAACATATTGATCGAAATGTCAAGAGAAATATCCGTAACTAGTCCATCGGAAATATATTGATCACTTTCTTCTTTTTTCTACATTGGCCTTGGTCCCTTCAAGTAGAGATAAACTTGGCCAAAGCTTACAATGCACGGATAAGACATCCGGCAGGTTTCGTCGTCGAGTTCAAAAAATGATGCAATACTCCAGCCGAAACGGGACACGTCCACCTCCCTCAAACTCAAGTAAAAGACTGATAACAGCAGTGATTGTGAGAAAAGGGGCTTTCCTGATCGGATATCACATTTGACTTGAAAATTTCATAGGATAAACTGATAACTAAATCGGACATTACAATTGATCGAATAAATTATCCAATTTAACAACAATATCCGATTTAATTGTCCATTTAGCCTACGAAATTTTACCAAATAAGCATATAGTATTCCATTCACATTCCAAATAAGCATGGTCATTTTCCGTTCACATTTTATCGGAAATCACATTTCATCCGATAAAGGAAATGATTATTTTGTATCCGATCCGTTTACTGATCGAAAAATGATCGGAAAAGGACTTAAATGGTTATTTTCAGTCAAAACCATTGGACATTTTTCTCAGTGAAATTATGAAAGTTACAAGTCTGTAGTTTTTTTTATAAAAAAATATATTAGTTTTCAGGATTAGTTTCCTATTATTTAACCAAAAATTGAACTTGTGTCACTTTTATATCAACTTGGCGATATCGTGATATTTATGCATTGCTATACAGGATGTATCTTAAATAATGTCCATTAATTATATAGCGTTATTTCTTGTAAAAAAAACTGATTTGAAACGTCCTGAATCATTTTTTCCTACAATGTTCAATGACGCGATTACTACTTCTGTAATTATTACTTCATTGAGCATTAAAGAGTAAAATTCTTAAATAGCGCTCACCAATTATTATAGCGTGGTATTTCTCATAAAAGATTGAGTAAAAAAGTCGTGAACTATTTTTTTTCTACAATGCTCAATGAAGCTGCCATTACTGCAGTAACGATTGCTTCATTGTGCACTGCAGAAAATAAAGTTCAGGACTTTTCGATTCGGTTTTTTTTTACAAGAAATAACGCTATATAATTAGTGGACGTTATTTAAGATATACCCTGTATATATCATTATATATCAGTTTAGCAAAATTAACGATTTAAACTGAATAATTACAACGCTGTGTATTATCGATCTCAAACGGTTTCTCTAATTAAATTTGGAGGATTCTCCCTTTATTTATCGCTTTGTTATCATTTGTGAATCTTCATATAATCTATAATCTTATTAGATTTATATTGCCCGATGAGATTATATCATAATTTTTTAAAATAATGACTGAAACAGTTGCTACCAAAGAAAGTCTTCAGATTACAATGTCTTTTTATTTGTTAATTAAATAATTATTTAATTTCTTGATTTTCACACATTATGTGTTATCTTATCAGTCGCTGTTCTTGTATTTTTTCTTCTATACAAAATATGTTAGCTATACAAAATTTTTAGTGAACTTTTGGAAGCAAAGAAAACTTTTGACACGTATAATTCTAGATTTTCAAAATAAAAAAAAATGTCTAATTTATAAATATCTATTTAGACATATATCCGATATACATCAGATATTTTAAAATTTTTATACAAGTGTCATGATATATTTTCGAAGCTTGCATTCATTCATTATAAAAATATGAATTAATTAAACAACGACATTTCCGTCTATTTATTTGACACATATTTGTGTTCCAGTTGCTGTTGTAATAGCCTTCTTCATATGTTGGGCCCCATTTCACGTGCAACGATTGGTCGCTATTTACGGCACTAATACAGAGGATCACATGACATCGAACGGCCCGGGGATGGAGTTTCTTTATTCTCTAATGACCTATGTGTCAGGCATTTTCTATTACATGTCCACGACGGTCAACCCAATCCTTTATAATATTATGTCGAACAAGTTTCGCATGGCGTTTATGGTAAGCAAAACAGAAACCCAGTCTTTTACAAAAAACAAAAAAAAATATAATTTAAAATTACATATATATAATAACAACTTAAATACAAATTCAAATACAAATGAAGTTCTTTGTGTTTAAAGCGCATCACGGAAAACAGCGTGTTGGTATATTGGAGGAACATATTAAAGCATATTGCACTCACAAAACGCGGGCATACGCAAAGTTAAGAGCGGCGGGAGGGGAGGAGCGTTTGCCTCTTTTCTTTAAATTTTAGCACAAAAAAAACAAATTGTGAAAAGAAAGAAATTGGAAGAAGTAATTAAAAAAGGATACTTTAGGATCTTCGAAGACTGACTTTAATTTAAATATTTAACAAGTTTTGTTTGAAAGTAATAAATTTCTTCCTTCCCCCCCCCTCGACCGAAATCTTGAGTACGTCCATGCATACAGCGCAGGCATACATACAATAGTTTCTAAAAATCATAAATCTGTATATTTTCTAGGTAAACAGTAGGTTTCTCTTCTATCCTTTTTATCTCCTCTCGCATATCTTTCCATAAATCGCTGCATTTTGCTTGTTTCTATATAAAAACAACGAAATCACATCATTTGTTACCCATTATAAATGAATCCAGTCTGGTCCGTTCCAGGAGACATTATCGAAGAGCTTCAGACTCCCTGGATTGCCAGCACGTAACGAGCAACGCTCCTATTCCAGCCTGTCGCGATCCCAGCAAAGGACGATCGGTGCCTACGGCTCAAGGATAGCGGGTACCGATGGCGGATCCGGGATAATTGCGGACAGCGTGGAGGGCTCGGGGAATTCCGCGGAGGAGGTGCAAAGTCAGCCGACAGATAATGGACCGGCGGAAAGTTCACCGGTGTCCTGCGCCACCAGCGTGCCGCCGCGCGGCGCGACCCGGACGAGCTCCGTGCGGAGCGAGCGCGCCGCCCGAGAGACGAGGAACAACAACGAGGGAACGACCCAGCCGAGGAATAAGGGAGGAGGCAATCCGCGGTCGTCGTCGCAGGCGGCCGTCGGCGGGCATCCGCAGCACACGAGGGACCGGTCGATTCGTCGGAATCACGAGGCTGCCGCGGCCTCGTGGATCAGGAGAACGAAGTACAGGAACGTGCAGCAGAACGTGACCGGCGTGGACAGCTCCGGGAAGAAGTGGTGGCGGTTCCTGAAGTGGTTCCCCGGCCTGAAGGTGCTCAGGTTCCGCCGAGGCGGCACGACCGTGCCTGAGCTGGATCGCATGTACGACGAGACGACCGGGAATCCCCGCGAGGAGCTGCCGATGACGATGTGGAATATCCGCGACAGCGGCGAACAGCGGCCCGTGTAGAGAGAGCTGCCACGCGTTCCGCGCGCGGTTGTCCTCGCGATTCGGGATCACTGTGAAAAGACTGATTTTTTTTCTTTTGCATATATATATATGTATATATGCGTCAATTTTTATCGTTATTCATGCTCGACGGTGGCAATGCATCGTCGTTACCCAATGTGACCTGACGAAGAGAGGCGCGCCGCGTGACACCTGCACTATAGCGGCAATAATAATGTTGAAAGTTTGAAAGATCATTGTAAACTTCGGAGAGGAATTTCTTTGGAGAATCGGAGAAGACTGAGATAAGTGACGCTTGTATAGCTCTGTCTCATGATTAATTTAACCTTTAAACCACTATATCGGTCTCATAGACCGCTATTGAAACGTTACTTGTCAACCATTTTCTTATTTGTCACCATTTAAATATATTTTATTTCTTTTGCATACGAGATTTTTTTGTTAACCCTTACATTAAAACATAGTTTTTTTTCTCCATCACAAATATTCAGAAAACACACATTTTTATTATACATAACTTATAAAATTAGCGAGAGCATATAATATAATAGCGGTCTGTCAGACTGACATTGTGGTTAGTGTAATTTTTTGGGATGTGGTGGTTTAAAGGTTAACAACAACTACCCCCAATGTGTGTCCACAACGAACGTAGAGAGAGATCTCTAGGAAACATCTTGTAAAATGTTGATTTACAGTTCACTTCTCGTATTCGCGCCAAACGAATTTTGTGCAATTTTGCACAACTGTTGGATGCTGGCCACACAAAAAGGTTGCATAAAATTTAATATGTATAAATTCGCGGAATCTCGGAAGGAGTAAACATGTCAGAAATATATTGCGATCGTGTATCGTGGTATAATTCAATATGTTAATCAAATAACGTATTGCGATCCGACTTGTAGATCCACCCGGAATCGCGTTCTCGTCAAGCACCCACTCATTAATCATTAGAGAGAGATTTTCTTGTATTGCTTCCGATTTATTTTAAAATTCGAATAATAAGCACGAGTACGCGCATTACGTGGGTTACGCTTTTCGAATTTTATTCTCGTACTTCTCTGACGTCAAAATATATATTTACTGATTATAAATAATAAACGATGTGCAACAAAATTTTATTTCCAAAAGCAATGGAACAATTAAAATTTTATCCAATTTCTTTTTTTTTTATTCGTTGCTTTCGACAAAAAAATTATGACAAATTTCTTCATTAAAACACAAGTATCATGATTAGGTAATTATGCTACTGTAAATAAGCCGTTTTAATAGTTAATTTCACTGTTTCAAGCGGATATATTGCGGAATGTGTAATATAATATACGCGCAATATAAGGTATATAATCAAATTAGAGAGGCGATCATTTCGGATAATCCGCGGTTTCGCGTGTCAAGCGTTTGAAAACGCGTCGCGTGTACACGGTTTTGACATCGCGTGTCGTTAAGTGTGCGAGTTGCAACGACATTAATTTCCAAATAAGATCTAAATGCTCTCTTTCTCTCTCTCTCTCTTACCTGTAAATCTATTTCTTCGTGGAAGTGTGCCGTAAGGTAAATTCAGTTGGTCTGATATATAAATTGGTACAGATTGCATGACGAGTTTATTGCAGAGATTTATCAAGTCTGCGACATGTTACAGAGATATAGATCTTTCGTGTTATTGTGGAATGTGTATAATATTGTATATTAGGAGAAAGGGAGGTAAGATGACGATCTCACAAGATTTGTCGATTTTTTCCTAATTTCTGTGATGAGTCATAAAAATAATGATCCACTTTTCAGATTTACTAAAGCTTTACTTGTCAACTGTAAAAATTGCAAACTATTATAAATAAATTAGAATCCTTTTAAATTTTGAGTTTAAACTGACTGACGTATATGTCCTTAAAAAAATCTAAATGTCAATTTCGTTATCTTGCCCTTATATGAGTAAGATGACTTCCAGTAGTGGGTAAGATGACAAAAATGTTAAATTAAAAATTTATTTTTATACAAATAAAAAGATTTATTCTTTGTAAGAATCTTGTTATATATTTGGTAACATAATACTTTATTTCCAAAAAGGAAAGAAATCAATGAATCGCGAAAAATAAGTGATATGGAAAGCAGGATATTAAAGAAGGCTGATTTGGACCCTTTTTGGCATAAGGATTAAAGTGGTAATAAAAGTAGTGTTTTTTTTTGTAGATTTTTACTAGATACGATAAAATTATTAAAAAATTTGTGGAGTTTAGGAAACACCTTGAAAATTGAGAAATAATGTGATATATGTATTTATAGAAATTTGAATGAAACTCGTCGTTTACTTACACAGATAACCAATATCAACAACTAATTAATTTGACGCATCACGTTTATAACAAATATAATCTGCACGAATACATCGTCTTTGTTCACGTTTGTTATCTTACCCGCAGTTGTTGTGTTTATATTTATTTTAAAAATGTTGCAATGCAGAAAATGCAAAATATTAGTATGTTATTGAGAATACATCGTCTAGTAGTTCAATTCATTGGCGATACAATATATCGGTTAAACATTGATACGCGCATGGGCGGATATATTGAGCCAATATTGCGCCAATGTATTGTGCTATTAGGATTCTTAGCTATACTGTAATTAAAAAAAAAGTACAAATTTATTTTTTACTATAATTATATTATTTCTTACAAACACAAAAATTACACGGAAAGAACGATTTTGTTGAAAGACTTAAAAATTTTGCTAAAAACAGATCTGAAAATAATTTTTTATTGAATCATTAAAATAATTTGGAATATTAAAACTGTATAAGTATTGCTGTAAAACGTTTTGATAATCTAGCAATTATTTTGACTTTCGCACAAAATAATTTTGATTATCGAACAAAAATTATTTTCAAATCTGGATTCAGCAAAATTGTTCTTTCCGGGTACATATGAATGCATCTAAAATATATTTCTTATTATATTATCCACTTTCGCGAACAGATTGAAATTAATGTATATTATTCATTATTATCTAAAGCCTTTAATGAATTCAGCGTCGGTTCGTTATTAGAAAAATTAGCAATTTATCATGTTATCCACTTTATGTTATCTTATCCCTCTTTTCCCTATAACTTTATATATGTAATACTGTAAGATACTGTGGCTCTTCTCAGATCAATTAAAATTTTTATAATGTGATATTATTCGTTATGTAAATAATATAAGTATATACTGCGTTAACTGTAAAATTCTTTATTTATTTTTATCCGCGTGTCTTACTGAATGTTGTTTGTAGCTGCATATGTATACCACATATGTACACTGCATATGTATATCTCCAGTCGATATTTTTGATAATTACAAACGCGGACACCTGTAATGTGTCCGAAATTAAGCTGGTTCTTCACTTTCTCTTCTTCCCTTAAACTAATCGCAAAACTTTGTTCTATCTGGTAAAAGCAATTCTATTGAATTTCTCCGTAACGCACTGTGTCTTTAGTTTTATATTGAATACTCAATATAAGTATAAATATAAGTATATAAGAATACTCAATAGTATACGATCACATGTATATGTATGTATTTTCGTACTCACATCCTTGAAAATTATTTCGGGAGTTTCCAGCGAAGAGTTTCCACACAAATAAATAAAGTTATAGCTTTTATATTTTGACAGTTGAGCAGGAACATGTTTGAGTTGGCGGAATATAATTCCCTAGAATCGCACGTGTGTATGGACAATTCAATTAAAAATATATGTGCCACATTTCGAAATGCATTCTGTTTCAAAAAATATATAATTTAATCGCAAAAATATTTGATTAAACAGCAAAAAATAACGAATGAAGATATATTAATGTAATCTGAAATCTATACATAAGTTTTATTTTGTGACATTCGCTTTTACCACTTTTTCTCCGCAAAACTGACTGCTGCATTCTTTGCTATACGTTAGAGGCAAATTCATGTTAACTAATTGAAACGAGAGGAAAGGCAAAGAAAAAATATTTTTTTTAGAAAAAATAAAATTCGGAAATATTAGGGATCAAATAATAAAGAAACACTGAAGCATATTGAATCATATTATATACTATATATATTTTTATATTATCTGGATTTGTGTGTTGTGTAGGCCACGCCACCCATTTAAAAACGAGAAAAGTGATTTTTATTAAAAATCTCAAAAATTTTGATAAGTAAATCGAGTACTTTATCGAATAATAATATTATTAACTTCTGATTCCGAACGGTAATGGTTTATTCAGAGCGGAAGTCGATTTTTTTAAATAAAACATTGTATTTGTTATAACTCTGAATAGCCTATTTCCGTTTGGGACTAAAAATTGAAAATATTATCATTCGATAGAGCTTACCGATTTATCAAAATTTTTGGGATTTTTGATAAAAACCACTTTCATTTTTAAATGGGTGGCGTGGGTGATCTGAAACACCTTATATGCACACATTTATATTTATGTGTATATGTATATATATATATATATATATATATATATATATATATATATATACACTATATTTAATTACCTACTTGCATAACACAAAAAGCCAGATGATATAAAAATATATATGAGACAATTGATATAACTGCGTCTATATAGAAAGTAAATGAATGAACATATGAAGTGAAAGCACATAGAGAGTACATTTTTCTACATTTAAATGCAACGGGAAGAAATAATTAAACAGGATATCCTTGCATAGGAATATTATGCATAATTTTTACAAAACATATTCGAGACTCGCACGATCGGAATATATAATTAAAATTAATAACGATCCCATAAATCTCATGTGTTAGTATACGACCGTGATCTACTACGAAACTTACGAACTAATGGAAAAAGATTTGTATATTCTAAATGCCAATTAACTTTTCGTAATGTAACAATAATACTGAAGACATATATGGACAAAAATATGTAAAATAAATAACATAAATAATAATACAATTATAGCTCGTCGCGCATATTGATTTCCGATAAGTGAATATTATAACAATTATACGTTTCACATTCATTCGAAAACAAGTATATATAAGATTCTGCGCGAAAGTAATTAAATTTGAATTTAATTATTGTGAGAATGGAATTAAAGTTGCCGATCCCTCGAACGACAGAAGGGCAGTGTATAAAAAATTACATCACAATAAATTACATCTATCGTCATTTGCAATATAGCAAATTTTACAAGTACGATTCGCATACCGAAGATCTTGGTGTACACGATTAAGTACGGATATATCTTTCGCGCGCGCGTATATAAGCGGGTGTACTAAATACATATTAATATTTAAATATATAATGTGTTCCGACATATTTATATATGTATATATATATCCAACATGAATTAACATACATATACATATAATATATATATCCCTTATATAGTCTATGACATTTTAAATAATAACAATAATATACATCAATGTGATAAGCGTACGGCATGAGTGAACTTACAGAATATAGGAATGTATAATTGTATGAGAAACAACGTGAAGACGATTATTGTTCTGCGACAGTCTGTCTTTCGCGAAGTTGTGTATCGTCAATTTTGTTCATGGTATACTTTCGAGACAACCTTTGATGTGCTGCCAAGCTTGGAGACCCTGTAACAACGAAGAATAATGTCAGCATCAACAAGTTTTCGTGAAAAACAAATTCTATAGAGTAGTGATGCGCTGCAATCCGCCTCACAGCCGGAAATACAAAATTATATTTTTTTTCGAAATTATTAGATAAAATATGGGCTACGATCCTGAGGTATTATTAAATAAAATATGGGTTACGAGCCTGCTCAAATAAGTCAATTTACAAAAAATGTATGAATAAATTGACTTATTATTTGTGTGCATTAAATACCTAGCTCAGGCTAGGCTATTTAATGCGCACAAATCGTAGCCCAAATCTTAGCCCATATTTTATTTATTAATTTCAATAATTTATTGAGCCTCCTTTAACTTATTATATTTTTCATTTTATGCAAAATAGTAACATTATACAGTTTGCAAATCTTGAATCATTTTGAAACTATACAATTTTGTTTTTATTCATTTTTTTAAATATTACACACAAATAGCTTCATCGAGCAGTTATGAAAAAATACACTACATGTTTGTAAGGTATTTAATTTTTATTAATTATCTTGATCTTTTAAAGAGTAACCCCAAAAAAGGTGGTTTTTTTGCCCGTTTTTTGAGGCTTTCGATTTTGGGACTTGTGTGCCAAATGGTACCATATGAGATAATGAGATATTAATCACAGAAGTTTCAGATTGAGGTGACAATTGTTATCACAATGGAGGGATCATTTATTATATATTACGTCTCCTTACGCGAAAACTCGATTTTTTTTACATCCAAAACAAGCGTCATTTACGTAAAACTGCGATCAATCTTTATCGACTGACTCAACCTTCTTAAAATAAGATCTCGCACACCTGTGAAAATTCTATAATGAACTTTGATTTTATCCCTCCCCTTCCTCCAGCTCTGATAACAACTGTTACCTCAACTTGAAATTTCGGAAAGGATGATTTTGCTGGAAGATAAAAAAAATTTGAAAGTAATTTTTGTCAGAGCACCATCGAAATAATTTGATGGAAACTCAAAAATAATAAGCATTGCTGTAAAAAGTTTTGATATTCTAGCAATCTGTTTGATTTTCCAACAAAATTATTTTGATGATGCTCTAATAAAAATTTTCAGATTTTTTTTTCATTTTCCAGCAAAATCGTTCTTTTCGTGTATAATTAATGTCTCATTATAAGGTATTGGCACACAGTGTCAAAATCGAAGGCCCAAAAAGCGGGCAATATTTTGACTCACTCTTTTCTCATTGATGATAACAAAATCTATGCTACCCGCGAAAATTTTGTCTATTTCTGAAAATAGGCCTAAGTTTAAAAGGATTGTGTGTCACTGCTAAAGAGTGCCAAATTTAATATACCTTTCTAGCCAGTTTAAATTGCAGAACACAATAAGCCGCCAAAGTCTCTTTTAGATCGACGACCTTTTGATGCTGGAACCTCTCGATGTCCATCATGGCTTTAATGGAGAAAGATCTGTAGCAGCATTTTGTCAGAATTATTAACGTTCGCCACAAAAAAAAGTATCGATTAGATGATATTTAGAAACGCGTAGGATTTTACTTCAAATCTTCATCCACTTGCTTCACAGTTTCGTCGTGCTGCGCAATTCGCTGCTCCAGCTGAAGGATTTTCAACTCGCGAACCTCCTCGGTGTCCACTGAGCCGAATAAACGCGACATCAGACCAGCTTTACCTTGAAATCAAAGTTTATCATTCTCGAGAGTATACATACCTACATAAATCAAATTTAAACTTTTACACATATTTAATTATATTTTGAGCTAAATATTTATATTTCTTAATATAACTGTTTAATATGTAATAAGATCTATAAGTTTTTGGTTCAAAAAAAGATGATAAAATTAAACTATTTTTATTTCTTCAATATAGTCACTTTTATTCTAATTTTCTAGAGCAATAAATTAATTTTTCTGTACCAGGAAATAAATTTTTTTAAAAGGATATTCTAAAACTAAAAATTATATTCAAATTTTTTATACATATTAATTATATTTTGAGTCAGATATTTATATTTTAATATAACTGTTTAATATGTAATAAAATCTATAAGTTTTGGTTCAAAAAAAGATAATAAAATAAAACTATTTTTATTTTTTCAATATAGTATTACTTCAATAGTATTACAATAAGTATTATGTCACTCTTATTCCAATTTTCTAGAATTAATTTTTCAATGAATTAATTTTTCTGTACCAGGAAATCAATTTTTCTAAAAAGACATTCTAAAGTTTTTTCTTTGAAATGATTTAACATTACGGAGATCAATTTTTCACTACGAATAATTTTTTTCCCACGCAAGGCTCAATTGAAAAACAAGTATGTATTAAAGAATTTTAAGGCAAATTCAGAATATATTTTTAATAATATAGGATAATTAATTCATTGTTCCTATAAAATGTATTGAAATAAAAAGTGCAACGGAAAGAACAATTTTGCTAAATCCAGATTTGAAAATAATTTTTGTTCAAGAATCAAAATAATTTTGTGCGAAAGTCAAAATAATTGCTAGAATATCAAAAGGTTTTATAGTAATACTTATCAGTTTTAACATTTCAACAAATTATTTTGATGATTCAACAAAAAATTATTTTCAGATTTGTTTTTAGCAAAATTTTTAGATCTTTCAACAAAATTGTTCTTTTTGCGAATGAATTAATTTTTCTGTATCAGAAAATCAATTTTTCTAAAAAAATATTCTAAAATTTTGTCCTTGAAATAGCTTAACATTGCGGAGATCATCTTTTCATTAGGAGTAAATTTTTATTTCCACGGAAAGTGGAACTTTAATTTTGAAAATAAAATCGTTAGAGGCTTAATCGGTAAACTGTAAAACAAGGTGTTAAAGAATTTTAAGACAAATTCAGAGTAAATTTTTAGTAATATATGATAATTAATTCATTGTTCTATAAAATGTATTAAAATATAAAGAATAATTATATTGAAAAAAATATATACTTTTTCCATCAAGATTTATCCACTTTTTATACATATACATATTTTTGGGACGGAAGCTTCTCCGATTTTTGGATCTTACTAGCAATAAATACCTTGCATCACTTTGTCTTTCTGTTCGAACGTAGCAGTCAAGGCATCGTGCGCTTCGTCCTTGGCCAGTTGCAGGGCTTCTCTACGCCTGACCACAGCCTGCAACGCCGACGCGCCGAACAGCCATTCCTTCAACTGATCCGCTATGAGCTCTTCCTCCTCGAGGGTGGTGTCTATCGTCGCCGCTAATGAGTCCAAGTAGTGTCCCGATTTCTAAGAAAACAGGCTGTAATGCGGTGTTTTGCAAATTTAAGGGAGGGTTTCACCTTTGCCGGCCGTAAAATTAACCCTTATTTCATAAATTTTTTTTAAGAAAATTTATTATATATACAGTGAAACGCGGGTTTTTGCATAAACTTATATATTATTTGACCAGCAAAACAAATATTTTTTATTTATATAAAAATATATTTTAATATCTCCAAGTGGCGATTAAATGTGGCATGTTTTTCGTGCTGGCGGAAGTAATTACGAAAAAACGAATTAAGATATCGAATTGATTCTTTTTTTCTCTTGATCCTAATACTTTAACGCATGGCGTGAACTAAAATCAATTGCTTGAAATTAGTAAAAATGGTAGCATTTAAAAAAAAAACATTTTTTTTGCACTAAAAATTTTTGTTAATAACAAATTGGATGTTTGTTATAAAATTATGATTTAGTTCATGCCACGCGTTAAAGTATTAGGATCAAGAGGAAAAAAGAATCAAGTCGATTTTCGTAATTACTTCCGTCAGCTCGAAAAACATGCCACATTCAATCGCCACTTGGAAGCATTAAAATACATTTTTATATAAATAAAAAATATTTTTTTTGCTGTTAAAATAATATACAAGTATATGCAAAAATCCACGTTTTTACTGTATATAACAGATTTCCTTTAAAAAATCATGAAACAAGGGCTAATTTTGCGGTCTGCAAAGGTGAGGCCCCCCTTAAATTGTGTTTCGTTTTTTCTTTTCGTTTTATCGAGTCGCGTTTACTACTCTTTCCGATCTTAGTGAATAAAATCGACGCGAACGAAATTTCACTCGCACGTTTCTATTGGCACGTATGTTAATCGGCGTTTACTTCTTACAACGAGGAAATACCTGCAGTTCGTCGCCCATTCCCTTCTCTATGGCACTCCATTCGCTGAAGACACGTCCATAATTTGCGTGCAACTTGTACAAACTGTGTTGCTTCTCGACAAGCCGTGCTCGCACTCGCAGCAGATTGCACAAGTTATTCTGTAAAAATAATCATTTAAAGGTACATCGACAATATTTGCGTCATAATTAAGATATTATTTATATATACACGGAAAGAACGATTTTGCTGAAAGATCTAAAATTTAGCTGGTCATTAAAATACCTACTTATGTTGGAAATTCAATATTGATGAGCAATGCAAAAAATTTTAATTTTCCGACAATCAATTTGCGTTTCCAACATTATTATCTTAATGAGCCAACAAAATTTTAGGATTTTTCAGCAAAATCTTTTTTTTTTGTTTGTGGACAAAACAATCTCTTAATAATTGTTGCTTGTTAATAAAATGATGCAAATTTTGTTAAAACGAAATATGTAATATTTTAACGATAATATTTTCGTAGCATACCTGCAGTTCAATTCCATAATTTTTTATAGTTTCGAACCGTTTGTCCGGTTTTCTCAATCGCACCGCTACGCTAAGCGCTTTCAGTTTCGATTCTGCGATCTGAAAATACCCTATGCAGAAAATAACAAATATGATTATCAAGAAAATATTTCTTAAGCTATTAATTCAAAAAATAAATAAATATACGCTAGCAAATTGAAAATTTAAAATAAAATAATAAATGTGTAATGAGCTAAGTAGAATGTTTGTGCTTGTAAATAAGACATATAAATATTTTCACGCATAAAATTCAAATTAAACATTTCAAACGTTTTAAAATTAGGTCATCCTCAGTGATAACAATTCAAGATAATTAAAACTTGTAGTATAAAGTCAAGCTTAACACTATTCACTTTGAAATTTCTTTAACTAGTACTCGCGGATCTAATGCAACTGACAAAATTTCAAATTAATATATCTTTGCGTAAAATTAACATAATTAAACAATTTTCTCTTTAAAGTTTAAAATCTGAAGACTAAGATTACATAACTAAAAATTATGTAAAATTGTAAAGTAAAAACTAATTATGTAAAGTAAAAACATTTGTTATAAATCATTTTTTGCTATTTGAAGATTTGGCAATTGGAAAAAATATTCGGATCAACTGAAAATTTTTTCCGCGAATATCGATTAAATTTAAATACGCTCTGATTTATCAAAGTCAAGAGAACAGGAGGCAATTTTATTTTTAAATTTACTCTGAAAATCATATTAATTGCGGGACAACATAGTATTTCGACGAATTTTATGTTTTTTTTTTTTTTTAATATATACTATAACAAATTTATTGTAACGCACAGTAAAAAAACAGAGAAAATTACAGAAAATTTGTCAAAATACTATATATGTTATCTCACAATTAATATAATTTTCAGAGTAAATTTTAAAAGAAAATTCCGTGAAACAACGATGTTTAAGTATTAATTTTTAAATTGACGTTTCAATTATTTTTTCTGTTACATGTAAAAGTAAAAATTACCTGTTTCTTTAACACTTTCTCTCCAACCGTCCTTCTGCTGAAGAAATCCCATGAAATGTTCGTCGCGCGAAAGTATAGGATGCGACGCGACTCTTATAAGAAAATTCTGCGTACAGAAGTATAGCTTCTATATAGCTCTCCCAATGCAATATGTATCGTCCGTGATATGATACCGTGGGAATTCAGAAAAACGTACCTCGAGTCCAGCTCTTCTGCGATCAACGAAGTCGGGATCGAACGTGTCAGTCGTCACCTTCTGCCACGCGTAGAGAACCTTCTTTTCCGGTAGCGGTGGCAGCACAATGTAGGGATAGGAAATCTCCAGATAAGCACGAAGCAACTCGAACTCGGTGTATCGCCGCCATAACGAGCTTATTCTAGTTAGCGCGTTTTTGAAATCTGGGTCAGTGACTCTGTAAAAATAAAGAAGAACGTAGTCATGTATAATAAACGCCCTGACATGAACAGTACTGCACGGAAAGAAGACAATTTTGCTGGATCTATAGATCAGAAAATAATTTTTGTTCAATAAAATCAAAATGATTTTCTTGGAAAGTCAAAATGATTGCTGGAATATCAGAACGTTTTATAGCAGTGCCTATCATTTTTAACTTTCCAACAAATTATTTTGATTATTCACTGAAAAAAGTAATCTTGCAATTGTAGCGAGAATTATTTTAGGTACGAAAAATTAGCTGAAACGAATAAGTGATATATAATAAATACTGCGATACCACATATGTTTTGTATTTAATCAATATAGATAACAGAGACAGAAATTATATCTGAACTGACTATTTGTCAAATTTAGCAAGAAAGTTCCTCTATGACGTTTAATCAGTCCAAATTCCAATCCAGACTCCAATATCATATTTGGTTATAAAATCTATATTTTCTTGTTGTATATTTTCAGAATATTGTTGCTATAAATTCTACGTATGACAGACAATTTTTTAGCAGTTTTTTTATACATATAAAAAACAGCGATATAATTTAAGTGTAATATTTAAAATTTTAACTGGAACAGCGAAACATTTCTCTGAGTGTTGAATAAAAGTTTTATTTTCAGATCTGTATTCAGCAGAATTTTTAAACCTTTCAACAAATTCGTTCTTTCCGTGTATATATTTCCTCAATAAAATTTGTACCACAGTTTATAATAAACTTAATTGCAGGATGCGTACACTGAAAAAAATAATCTTGCAATTATAGCGAGAATTTATTTAGGTACGAAAAATTAGCTGAAACGAATAAGTAATTGGTAAGCACTGCGATACCACATATGTTTTGTATTTAATCAATATATGGATAACAGAGACAGAAATTATATCTGAACTGTCTGTCAAATTTATCAAGAAAGTTCTTCTACGTTTAACAGACAATTTTTTAACAGATACAAGAAACAGCGACATAATTTAAGTGTAATATTTAGAATTCCAGCTGGAACAGCGAAACAATTCCCTGATGAGTGAAACGTCATAGAGGAACTGTCTTTGCTAAATATGACAAATAGTTCAGAAATAATTTCTATCTCTAGTATCTACATTGATTAAATACAAAACACATGTGGTAATCGTAGTGCTTACTAATCACTTATCCGTTTTAGATAATTTTTCGTACCTAAATAATTCTCGCTATAATTGCAAGATTACTTTTTTCAGTGTAAACTCAATTGCAGCTGGATACGTACTTTAATTTCTTTCTATATACTCACTTAGTTTCGATGAGGTATACTGTGTAGAATTCCCTTAAATTAAGTGCTCTATTCGCTCGCTTCTCAGCTTCTACTATTGAGATCTCCATGTGGTCGAGCAGGCAGTCCTGGAAATATGTACATATATATATATATATATATTGCCGCATATAAGGCCAGAGTCCCTCATTGCACAGAACAAGCTCGCGCGTGTTTGAGAGACACTGCTTGATCCGACGGCCATCTGTTTCCTTATTATCCGCGCGGAATGTCGCGCGCGGTTTTGACGAGGCGAGCATTATATAGTGTATGCAACAGCTGTGCCGCGCGAACTTACACAATGTACGATGACACGCGAGGGGGGGGGGGGTTGGGGGAATCGAGGAGAGAATGGAACACGGAGTCACTGACACCAATTTGAGAGACGCTGCGCGGTGCTCCGGTAATCATCGCTCAGCGCGACACACATTCGCCCGCTCGCGATTTCATTGCAACCAGGATCGATCAAATCAAAATTGGCGGTCTCCGAATCGACCCGATCCAGCTCGCGCCGAGCGCTCGCGCGGTCCGCTTCGAAGGTCCTTCCCGAGATTCCGGAGTGAATTTCGGAGTAAATGACTTAAATGACTCTCCGGCGCGGCGGGGCGACGAGCGGCGGGAGGCGGCTTAACGCGCGCGACTCCGAAAAGGCGTACTGCGTTGAGAGCGAGCGACTTATCGATTTCCACCGCAGACGAATGCGTGTGGAAAAACAAGCCGAGGCCCCAAGGTTTTACCTCTTTCCGCGTCTGATCCATGGCGGTCATGTTGGCGTTGGCCTCCCTCTGGTAGTTGCCGTTCCGAAAGACCTCTTCCATGATTCCGCGCGGCGGATCGCCGTTGTGCCTGCGGCTTATACCTACTATCCTACGGGCCCAGCCAGCGGGACACCAATTTGGTCTTTCGCATCACGTCGTCGGTCCGCCCCGACTATATACTGCTCGACTACGGCTCGACCCGCTACCACCACCGCGGTCGTGTCGATACTGCCGCGCCGCAGCAGGGCTGTAAAGGCAGGCTGTGTATAACGTATGTGCTGCGCACAATCGCGGCAGTCCTGACCGAGAGAACCGGTCCCAGACACTCGTGATGTGTCGCAACGCAAGTTCAGTTACGTATAGCGCGAGGGAAATACGGGCAAATTTAAAACTCGCGAAATTGCCGGGGAGACGTGAAAATTAATGATTTTAATTTTAAAAGTCGATAATGATTTTACGATCAAATAATGATTTCACAATTCATCGCACAAAAGTTTTGCTCAACAATCGGAGTCGGCATGTAAAGCGTGATGATATGCAAAGCCGCGCACGAAGTGAAAAAGATCCTATGTGAGTGATTCTATGTGAATGATAAGTTGGCTACGCTGAGGCTGACGCGGCTTTCCTCTAGAGGAATATATGACGCCAATGAGTAAACAATATATGAGTTTCTCGTTGCACTCTTTATTACATCCCAGCTAGTGTGTCCGATGAAATGATACAAAAAATTCGTAATTGGACTACAATTTATATTCATTCAAAATTTTCACATTGTAGGAAAATATTTATTTAAATATTTATTCAAACTCGTGGGATTTTAAAAGTATTTATTCGTGAATATTTTATGATTATTTTATGATCTATTTATATTCATTCATACAAAATATAAAGTAAAGAAAGAAAATGAAAAATAAATTTTATATATTGTTATTGATATCCAGATTTGATAAAGAAAACTTACAAATTTTGAAAAAAATTTTAGAAAACAAATTTTTTATTTAAAAGTCTTTTATTCGCAACAATAATTTTATCTATGATATATAATTTTTATTCTCTATACTTTTGCAAACCAAAAGATACAGTAAAATCAAACATTGCAATTTCGTACGGCTTACAACAGTAATGTTAATTCTATAAAGTATTTTAAGTGCTTTAGCATCTCGTGGATGCTAAATAAAATGTATTATTTAATTAATAGATCTAATTAATGAATTTCTCAGAAATCCTCTCAAAAAGCATTGGCTGTAATAGCTGATCTCATTTTCTCCTCTCGGCATCATCGTGTTTCTTAACTTAAATCAAGTTTGAAGGTAGAATTTTAGTGGGTAGAGTAGAAGTGAATGCGAAATCGAAAACAATCGTAATCATATTTACAAATATATATATTTATTCAAATCTTATAAAAAGTATTTATTCAATTTTCCATGAATATGTGTGAGAAAAGTAGTATTTATACTCGTATTCGTATTCATTATTTATTCATTTATTCGAATATTGAATGTATTCATCGGACACACTAATCCCAGCAAGCACAAATTATAACTGCAACATTGTAACGTTTTATCTATATCGCACAGAAATATTATAACGTTGCTGCAATATTACAGTTATAATCTGTGTTTGCTGGGATCGCATGTTGCATACTTTTACGGAAATTTGATTCTGCAAGGTATAGTGATTAATTATTTATTTTGATTGAGTATTAAATTGAATTTCTTTGAGGGATGCAGAAAGAACGAAGAAGACGTTTTAGTAATAAAATAATTTTATTATCTTTAATATTTTCTGCGCGTTGCAAAATTACATTTTTTCTTTGTTGCTGCTATGCACGGAAAGAACACATCAATTTTGCTGGATCCAGATCTGAAAATAATTTGTATTCAACAATCAAAATAATTTGGTTGGAAAGTCAACACAATGATTGCCGGACTATTAAAACGTTTTATATATAGTAATGCTTATAATTTTTAACTTTCCAACAAATTATTTCGATGATTGAACAAGAATTGTTTTCAGATCTGTATTTAGCAAAACTTTGAAGACCTTTCAACAAAATAGTTCTTTCCGTGTGTTTATATAGCAAAAATTAAGCTTGAAACTAATCGACGACAGAGAAAATTATATTATATATAAATTTTCGAGGTTTTAATTAATTTAATTAAATATCGCAGTCGCGGAATGCCCTTAAAATACGTCTTTCCCTCATGTTGGACACACTGTACGATTGCACAATCCATTCGTTTATTCTACGTACGCGCGTGTGTACGTAGAATACAAGTATAGGTGGGAGCGAAAATAGACCTTATTTACTACGATGAACGTGCATATTTACATAATGGAAAATATTGCGCGGATATAAAACGATAGCGATTAATTGGAGTATATAAAGACGAAGAAAAAGGTATTTACATGTCGATTTTTCGACAAATAATAAAGCGAGTAATGAAATCGACGAGATTATAACTACAGACGGGTCAAACGATATCCTTTGGTTTGTCATCTTGCGTCATTTTTCGAGGTAGAATAGCAACCAGAAATGCAGATACTACAAAATAATAATGTAAAAGTATTTAAAGAATATTTTTATATGTATGTATACGTAAAAGTTATATACGATGTACAGATACGAATACAATTTGATATGTAAATATTGTTATTCTTACCTAAAGAAGCTAAGCCAATCATAACAAATGGACCTAAACACGATAGATTGAATAAAACGGGAAACAGTAAATTGCCGATTACTGCACCGATTCTTCCCATCATCATAGTTATGCTAACTGCCATGGTTCTGTAACAAGAAAAAAATATGGATATCAAATAAATTCTAGATAATACACTCAGAGAAAAGCGTAGTGATAGCAATTATAAAGATAATAACTATGATAAATTTTATATATGGCATTAATGTACATAATTGAATAAATTAACATATACAGGATGTGCCAAAAGTCTGGAAACGCCAAAATAACTTTTGAAGGATTCAAAGTAATGAAATTCGAAGGATTGAAATTTATAGGGGGATACAATGGGATCATAAAATTTGTTAATCTCGGAAACACCGTCTTACACGCTTCCAAGGAGCGGGAAGAGAATGGAGCAAAAAGTCTTATATTTCGAATTCTTCAAAAGTTATTTTGGCGCACAATAAACTATTTTATAATTGTTGCAATCGTAAAAGAGCTGAATAAATAAATTAAAATGTAATTGAATTAAAATCTATTTTTATAGATGAATAAACTATTTTATAAATGCAATAATTATAAAGTTTATTCAATTATATATATATTAATTTTACATGCAAAATTTGTACAGTTATCACCACTGTCTCTTTTTCTCTGAGTGTAAATAAAATTAAAAAAAAAATGCGATACGTATTTCTTTAATAATGATAAGTTGCCTACCTCAGGTATGTAGGAAAATTATCGACAATGACGTTAACAACAGTCGCACCGCCTATACTTGTCATGGCGACGAATACCGAAGACAGTCCGAGGATACCATTAGTATCTTCAGCCCAGTACAATGAGCCGCAACAACCAGCAGCCACGACAAAACAAATCGCTGCACAGAAATCAAATAATTATAGTAATAACAAATAATTGCATATAGATAATTATTAATTATAATAAAATTGTAGCGCTATGCCAAGATTATTATATATTATTATTCGCACACGCGGAAAGAATGATTTTGTTGAAAGGTCTAAAAATTTTATTGAATACAGATCTGAAAATTAATTCTTGTTAAATCGAAAAATTTTGTTGGAATGTTAAAAATGATAAACGCATTACTATAAAACGTTTTGATATTCTAGCAATTATTTTAACTTTCCCCCAAAATTATTTTGATTGTTGAACAAAAATTATTTTCAGATCTGGATCCAGCAAAATTGTTCTTTCCGTGCAATATATTATTTTATAAATAAAATCACAATTTCTTCGCCACCAAATTACTTTATCATCTTACCCATTAGCTTCCTTTTTCCAATCACAGTAATCAGAGAACCAGCCATAGTATAACCGATAACGCCTGTCACGGCGATGACAATGGAATTGATAAATACTCTAGAATTCAACTCCGCCTGTGTATGAAATTAGCGTGTGATATTAATATTTTCGAGGATTTTTTCCCGCGCGCGACTCGATCATATTTTATGAATCAGCGACTCACATGAACACACACAGTCGTAACATTGCCCATATTTTCATTGGCATAGTGTGTGGAATTAAGAAGCGACTTCTCCTGGCCCAACATGTAACAAAATGAAGGCTGCAAACCCGTCACGTGACTGTCGTCCTTCATGAGAGTACTCTTGTAACTTTCGATCATCGCGAACAGCTGCGGCAGCCAAAGCCGAAGTGAGTTTGACCTGCACAATTGCAATCGGCAATTAATTAAATTCTCGAAGATATTTTTAGTGTCACCCTTTTCTCTTAAATTAAAATCAAGACAGACGAGAAATTGATTCAACTGACCCTATTGTTGCACCAAGCTGCACCATCGATATGAGTATTAATCTGAAGACATTAGGTCGCAAGAAGAGTGGCTTTATCAGCTTCCAGCAATTATGTAGCTTGTCCTGTATGCGTTCCCCGCATGATTCAACGGAATATTCATCCTCCAGACTCTTTATCTATGAATTAATAATAAAACAATTGTTTATATTATATATATTACTATTACTGTGTTAATTTTTTCTTTTGTTTTGTCGTTCGATTTATTAATCTCATTACATCAAGTGTTCTTCTACATATATTCCTGTTTAAATTTGGTTTATGTCCTATTTATTTCGCTTTGTTCTCTTATGGAAAAAACAATTTTGTTGAAATATATTTAAAAATTTTGAAAGAACAATTTTACTGGAAGATCAAAAAATTTGGATCTAAAAATAATTTTTTGGAAACTCACAAATAATAAATATTGCTAAAACGTTTTGATATTCTATTAATCAATTTGACTTTCCAACAAATTATTTTGATGGTCCAACAAGAATTATTTTCAAATCTGTATTCAACAAAATTTTTAGACCAAAGCAAAATTGTTTTTCCGTGCAGATACAGATATGAAAATAATTTTATTAGACTATCAAAATAATTAGAGTGCTATATATAGATTGTTTAAGCATAATGAGTTATGCTGCAAAAAGTTTTGATATTTGAACAATCTGTTGAATTATTTCGATTTACAAAATTATTCTTCATTTTTGCTTTGTATAATTATTTGAATAGTTTAACAAAAATATATACGGAAAGAGCGGCTTTGCTGATGTATTAAAAAATTTAGCTAGATACAGATCTAAAAATAATTTTATTGATTCATCAAAATAATTATGTAGGAAACTCAAGCGAGTTGAGCAATGCTGGAAAAAATTTTGACATTCTAGCAATCAGTTTGAGCGTTCTACATAATTATTTATAGATAATCCAAAAAAATTATTTTTAAATTTGTATATTTAGCTAAATTTTTAATAATACTTCCATAAAACTGTTTTTTTCATGTATACACGGAAAGAATGATTTTGTTGAAAAATTTAAAAATTTTTCTGAAAACAGATCTGAAAATAATTTTTTATTAAATCATAATTGGTTAAAAATAATTTGTTGGAATGTTAAAACTAATAAGCGTTGCTATAAAACGTTTTGATATTTTAGCAATCATTTTGATTTTTGCACAAAATTATTTTGATTATTAAACAGAAATTATTTTCAGATCTGGATTCAGCAAAAGTATTCTTTCTGTGTATCAAATAAATACGATACGATGATTTTTTGATCGTGCTGTGTGCAGTTATCGTTCGTAGTTTATAATATTGTCGAAATAACTCGATGAAGCATCGTGTTTTTACAATAAAATTTTATTTGCGCGATTTAATTGACGTAACGTCAATATATGCAATGAATAATCGTTTGTGCCAATAAATTGTCTGATCAAGCAATTTAATTTCACGGTAATTTTACGTAATTGAGATCTAAATTATTTTAAATAAATTTCATTGAACAGCATTATTATGGTCCAAACGAAATTATTTTCTGATATGTAGCCAGTTAAATTTTCAAATATTTCAACAGAACCGTTCTTTCCGGCGCATGCATTAATTATTACCGGATACGTGTCAGGATCCTTGCCAGTGTTGAGCGAGTAGATTTTCTTGAAGACGTTCAATGCCTCGTCGTGTCTGCCCTTCAGGATAAGGAAACGCGGACTCTCGGGGAAAGCGAAAAGAGCGATGCACGCTAGAAATTCGGGCAGCGAGCAAATGGCTAGGAAAACTCGCCAGGAATTTATCTCCAATGTTTCGCTTAGAAATGTGATGTACCACTTTTGAGGTAATATAAGCCACGCTATACCTGCGAATTGAAAAATAAAAATAAAAAAGTCGTTTAAATTCGCTTGAGTTTATTTGTCGCAAAATGTACACATTTGAGTAAAATAAACACGGAAAGAACAATTTTGCTGTATCCAGAAAATAATTTTTGTTTAATAATAAAAATAATTTGTTGGAAAGTCAAAATGATTGCTACAATATTAAAACGTTTTATAGCAATGCCTATCATTTTTAACTTTTCAACAAATTATTTTGATTATTAAACAAAAATTATTTTCAGATCTGTATATTTAGCAAAATTTTTAGACCTTTCAACAAAGTCGTTCTTTCCGTGAATGTATTATGCGCACTCTCGCGACGCTTTTCATTACAAATCTCTAAATCAATTTTAACTCTCGTTGTTTCCTTCAGCGAATTTTACAACGTCAGCAACACGCGTGTTGCAACGTTATTGCACGCTTCACTGCTGTTAAAAATCGGCGCTTTACAATTTAACCCCCGTCAATCATCTGTAGATAAGGTGTGTCAAGGCCGCACTTACATGGCAAGGAAATGTTTCCGAGCGAAAAGAACACGCCAAGCCACATGTACGACCTCGATCGATGCGCCTCGTTGTGTACCTCCGCCATGTACGACATTAGCGCTGCGTATGGACCAGATATGCTGCAATTTGTTCATCGCAATATCAGCTGTTGCATAATATTTAAATATTCAAAGAAATATACAAATTTTTTCTTAATTAATACATGTACAAGATCACTCAAAATATTCATCGGAGTTTTATGATTTTTTATGTGGGAGAGGGGGGGGGGGTAGTGCATTTAACATACACACTTATACTGTATAGTCATACTGATGAAAGAACGAAACTTTTACACGAAAAGAACAATTTTGCTGAATCCAGATTTGAAAATAATTTTTGTTCAATAATCAAAATTATTTTGTGCAAAAGTCAAAATGATTGATAGAATATTCAAACGTTTTATAGCAGTATTTATCAGTTTTAACATTCCAACAAATTATTTTGATGATTCAACAAAAAATTATTTTCAAATTTGTATTTAATAAAATTTTTAGATTTTTCAACAAAATTGTTCTTTCCGTGTAAAGTTTTGCAAATCTCACATCATTCAGTCGGTGTTTCTATCTTGTAAGCTACTTAATGGTATAAATAAGAGATTTGAAACAAAACTTGAGTTCCGCTACACGAAAAGAATGATTTTGCTGTATACAGATCTGAGAATAATTTTTGTTGGACAATCGAAATAATTTTGTCGAAAAATCAAACTGAATGCTAGAATATTAAAATGTTTTATAGCAACGCTTATTATTTTTAACTTTCCAACAAGAATTATTTTCAGATTTAGCACAATTTTTACACTTTCCAGCAAAATCGTTCTTTCCGAGTATCCATACAGAAAGAATGATTTTGTTGAAAGGACTAAAAATTTTGCTAAATACAGATCTGAAAATAGTTTTTTTATTGAATCATCAAAATAATTTGTTGGAATGTTAAAACTGATAAGTATTGTTATAAAACGTTTTGATAGTTTGGCAATTATTTTGACTTTCGCCCAAAATAATTTTGATTATTGAACAAAAATTATTTTCAGATCTGGATTCAGCAAAATTATTCTTTTCGTGATATATTAATATAATAATTGTAATTATAATATGTTAAATGCACCACCCACAAAAAGTCAAAAGTGAGATCCCGATAATCATTTTGAATAACTGCATTTATAGCATGTGTGAGTTGTAGTGTCACACCGACTCCAAATTGCCGACTGGCAATTCCAAATTTCCAACTTACATCATGCCGTCGAAAAATTTGAATGTTATTAAAAGCCAAGAGCGGTGCGAGAAGCACGTCGCCAGACTTAGTAGACCGGTAAGCAGGTAACCGTAGAACATAATTTTCTTACGACCGAACATATCGGTCACGCAACCCCAGAAGAACACCGTGCAGATCATTCCTGAAAATAAACCCATGCCGGTCAGCCGATTCCGCCCTTTGTACCTGAATTTTTCGCCAGAAATTACGCGGAAAGAACAATTTTGCTGGAAGGTCTAAAAATTTTGCTAGATTCAAATTTGAAAATAATTTTGTCGGAAATTCAAAAGTAAAGACCATTGCTGTAAAATCTTTTGATAATTCTATAATCAATTTGAACTTTCAACAAAATTATTTTGATGGTGCAACAAAATTATTTGCAAAACCATTTGTATCCAGTAAATTTTGTATCCAAAAAAATTTTAGACCTTTTAGTAAAATCGTATTTTCCGCGTATTAAAATAATGACGAAAAATAAATATGCAGCCAAAACAAAACATTTTTTTTTTGCATTTTGAAACATCGTTCCTGTATTTGATATGCCACGAATTTACAATAACATTTCTAAATTATTCGATTAGGTACGCGCCTAGGGGCCTCCTAGCTGAGAACTGAGGATTTCGGCCAAAATAGAAGATAAAAGTATTTATATTTTCTGTTTCTGCAGGAAATCAATTTTAAACCGGAATCGAAGGACAAGATGGAAATTTGTATAATGCAAATATAATATGTTCTTTCCTGAGTGGTTTCTTATCATCTCTGAGATTAATGCTAAATTAATATTCAAACTATTTCATATATTTTTTTGGTATCTTGAAAAATCGAGATAAATATTTAAATATGCTCTTTTTCTTGTAATTTTTTTTACAGAATTTCCAGTTTATTAAAAATTTGTTTTTGAAAAATACGTACGCACACAATTTTTTAATAAAACATATAAATATAATTGTGTTTATTTTATTAGAAATAATTTAATGTTATTATATGAGTTTATGAAAAGAATGATTTTACTAAAGTATTTAAAAACTTAGCTAGATACAGATCTGAAAAGAATTTTTTTGAATCATTCAAATGTAGGAAATTTATGTAGGAAACACTCGTGCGTAAAAGCAATGCTATAAAAAATTTTGGCATTTAATTTAGCAATCTTGAGCGTTCTTCATATTTATTTTGTGATAGCCCAATAAAATTATTTTTTTTTCAGATCCGTATTTAGCTTAAATTTTAAATTCAGCAAAATCGTTCTTTCCTTGTATAATAAAAAATGTTTTATATCTTATTAATTCAAATTAACATGGCTCATGTACAGCGATGGAAGATTGCAAATGTCTATAATTGGTTCGAAGCTCTTTTAATTAAAAAAAAAAATCGATTGCGAGGAGAGCCCCGTGATGGCTGTACCTTTTATAGATCCTACAGAGGTGCATTAATCCGCCACTATAGTTGCTTGCGGATTCGAAAGCACCGAAAACGGGCCGGGCCGAAGGTAATTCGGCCGGGGGTTTTGTGCATGCGACAAGAAATAAAATAGTACGGTATTTACCGTGAGTTCGCACGTTTGCCCTCACTATTGCCTACGAAACGAACCGGCAGTGTACACCGCACACGATAATCATAGAGACACGATAAGATTGTGCCGAACTCTTAGGGGGGGCTCCAGGGCTCTCATCGAGCTCTCTGGCACCTGTAATGAAGCGTTGTTATGCAATTGTCAAACGGATCGGGATACTACCTGCGAACGCCATCGAGTTCAGCAGCCCCTTGTCGAACATCGTCAGCTGGAGATCGCATTCGGCGGACGGTAGCACGTAGGACATCGTCGACGACGAGAAAATACTGGAGAAGCTGGCCGGCAGTACCGCCAGCAGCAGCAAATAATTGAATTTTCCATATCCTGCAGCACAGAAATTACTTTAACGCGTGGCTTAACTCAGTCCCGTTTTTAATGTGCCAAGAAATGTTTATAATTAACACGTTTATTGTCTTCAGTCATCAACGGGGTCATTGCTGTAATATTGTTACGTTATATCGTCATGGAATGAATAATATTAGTGACTGCATTACTTAGACAATCACACGCATGTATTGTGTCTTTCTTTCTTATTAGCTTTAAATTAATAAGACTTTAAATTAATTGTAAATATAATTGGTTCAAGCTTTTCTCAATAAAAAATCGTTGTCGACTGCGAGGAGAGTTTCATTATGGTCTGTATCTTAGTGACTATAGAGGTGAATTAATAATAATATTGTATAAAAATTAATTAATAAATAAGAAATTTAATCAAATTCTTTTATAATTGGTTCAAACTTTTCTTCTAAGTCCCGTGTTTAACGTGCCAAAAAATATTCATGATTAACACATTTATACTGTTATCTTCAGCCATCAACGGTCACCGCTGTAATATTGTTATGTTATATTGTCATGGAATGAATAATATTAGTGACTACGTTAATTATTTAGCAATCACGCGCATGCATTGTGCCAAATTCTTTTCTTATTTGTTTTTAATTAATAAGACACACATAACGATGAAAGATTTTAAATATCTATAATTGGTTCAAACTTTTCTCAATAAAAAATTGTTGCCGACTGCGAGGAAAATCTCATTACGGCCTGCATCTTAGTGTCTATAGAAGCGTATTAATAATATAAAAATAATAAGAAATTTAATCAAATTCTTTTTTAAATCTTTATTTATAAGTATTTGTTAAAAATTTAATTGAGCCTATTACTTTGTTTTTCTTGAGGATAAAATGGAATGATAATATTAAACAAATGACACCGCGTGGCGATAGACGTGTTAAACGAGAGTAACGACCAAGCTTTTAAACATATAATACAATATGATTCACTTACCTGTTGCTTTAATTGCCCGTTCGAAGTCTGCGGGACCCGAATCCTCAGGCTTTACTTCCTCACCTAGAAGCAGGTAAACGGCAGTTAATTACGTTAAATCCCCGACGACAAAAAATCCACAACGGCTGCTTTAGATAGTTAAAATTGCATTAACACCTGATGCACTTTGCATACGTCTGTATCTATACGATCTATACATCGTAAATAATTCGATAAAGCGTCTAAAAATCATTTTTCTTGCCACCTAATGTTAAACACGCTGCCGCAGTTACGATCAGCCACGCACGTATGATCGACGTTCCCTGTGCGAGCTTGTTGTGAAAAACAGTTGTCAATATTGGCGTCAACAGCGCTTGAAACGTCGTTAATCTTATGTACTCATAACAGAATTTATATTATCTTTGCGGATATATCAGTTTAATTTGTACACCCGTGTACAATGATAATATCACGTACAACTTGTTTTTGACACAATGAAAACAAGCTGTCGCTAGACTTATTAATTAAATTAGTTACACATTAAATAATGGGCCCAAGACGAGCAATAAAAATTAATGGATGTTTAATTATTTGTTCATTCAAAAAGTAATATATTGCGTTATTAGTTTCAGTCTGACTAGGCCTTTTTCAATCGCATTGAGAATCTAAACACAAATAATAAATTAAGTTATATTTATAAAGTATAATACACGTAGTCAATAATTATAACATAACGCAGTCGAGAAATCTTGTATGACAGCTGATTAAATCCATATCGGAAATTGGATGGTCTTCATATTCAACTGTGGGATTTCCATTACAATCATATATGACATTAAAATGTTTGTTAATGATCGTGTCGAGCAAAATTATAGCTATTTGGCTAAAACTATTTTTATATAAAAATAATCAATTTAGGCTTCGCTAATTATAATGCAAAAACTTACAATTTCCCATGGTTGAACATGAAGACCATCCAATTTCCGGTACGGATTTAATCTGTCATACAAGATTTCTTGACTGCGTTATTTTATAATTATTGACTGCATGCAGTGTTATACTTTATAATATGACTTAATTTATTATTTGCGCTTAGATTCAATGCGACTGAAAAAGGCCTAGTCAGGCTGAAACTCAGGGAAATGTTTCACTGTTTCAGCTAGAATTCTAAATATAACACTTAAATTATATCGCTGTTTTTTGTATCTGCTAAACAATTGTCTGTCATACGTAGAATTTATAGCAGCAATATTCTAAGAATATATACAAGAAAACATAGGTCTCATAATTAAATATGATTGGAGTTTGAACTGATTAAACGTCATAGAAGAACTTTTCTTGCTAAATTTGACAAATAATCAGTTCAGATATAATTTCTGTCTCTGTTATCTATATTGATTAAATACAAAATAATAACATATAATAAATATAATAAACATATAATAAACATAATAATAAAAACATATATGGTAGGTATCGCAGTGCTTCCTAATCACTTATCCGTTTTAACTAATTTTTTGTATCTAAATAATTCTCGCTATAATTGCAAGATTATTTTTTTCAGTGATAGTATCGCGATACATTACTTTTTGAATGAATAAGTAATTAATTATAAACACCCATTAATTTTTGCTGCTCGTCTTGGTCCATTATTTATTGCGTTATTATTAGATCGAGCTAAATTTTTTTATTAATTAAATTAGTTAAATTAAACCTGATATAATTTATTGAAACTTAATTGACTGCGGCAGATAAATTTCATGTAGAATGCAGAGATAATCAGACGGTCGTGTCCTTTACAAGTTCATTATATTAAGCGTGGCGTCTATAATGAGATTTGAAAGATTTAAGATTTAAGAAAATTGACCTATTACAATCGATTATTCTTTTCGCGTGAAATGAATAATCGACTATAATTGATCAATTTTCTTAAATCTTAAGTCTTAAGTTTCATTGTATATGTCGCTTTACGCTACGCGAAGAATCTGTTGACTTGATTGAATTTGTATTTTTTTAAATCGTTACATGCAGATAAACGCTGTATAGTTGTCTTTGACAATAGACGTAGAAATATATATTCCGTGAGGGAAAAGATTAAGATAATTATGATAATTTGTTTCGCGTGAGACTACATGTATTAATTTTGTAAAACTCGCGCTTCGCGGGAAACGTTCGCAAGTTTAGTTATAAAATGTTATATGCAGCGTTAGATGCACTTCCAATTTGCATTATAATCGCCACGTCATTATCTCGAAGTTGAAGACTGCACGCGATATGTAAGTATCGAAAAGATAACATCGGTCCGCACGGATGCCGCGACGCGAATCGAGCTCGACTATAACGATCTATTGACAACGCCTCGTGCTCCTAACATGCTACCCAAAATAGAACTTGCACAAGAATCATTCAAAATATGTTTGCAAGCATTATCGCACTTAGCGAATTTTTCGATAACTATGAACTGATGAGATTAATTAAATACTAATGCCCTTTGAGTTTTTTGAGTTTTCAGTTTAAAACATGTTTCTTAAGAAAAAAAAATGCAATAAAATTTTGAATATTTTTAAAGATTTATTTGTACAATTAATAATAAATTGCAATTAAGTTACAAAGCTACACGGAAGGAACGATTTTGTTGAAAGGTCTAAAAATTTTGCTGAATACAGATCTGAAAATTAATTCTTGTTGAAGTATCAAAAAATTTTGTTGAAATGTTAACCCGTAAAGGTTACGTCTCTTTTGAACGGTTTTGTTTAACACAAAGTTTTAAAAACAATTATGTTCTTTTTTTTAATATTACCAATTAAAAATTTAATATTACCAATCAATTGGTCAGAAAATTTTACATTGAGAAACATACATTTTGCTTTAATTTTGCTTTTTATTTTTAGAAGATATAAAACTTTAAAAATGCTTGGTGCGAATTCGCACCTATGTATCCTTTACAGATTAAAAATAATAAGCATTGCTATAAAACGATATTCTAGCAATTACTTTGACTTTTCCACAAAATTATTTTGAATATTAACCTTCAAATGATACACTTCTTTCGAGCACCTACTAATGGAACAATGGCGCGAATTTGGATTTGACATCTTAAATTCATCTTTCCTGAGAATAAAAACAGAAATGTTTTGAAAACCCCACTTTTTGGGGTAAAATTTTTTCAGAAATCCAGCGGTATTACTCAATTTAATGAAAAAACTATTTTACAATTGAAAATTAATTATAAATAAGTTACCGTTTTGAAAAACGTCACTTTTTCGAAGAAGAGCTGCCATTTTTTGTTATTTTATAAAATGAAGTGAAACTTGCGTGATTCTTTAGTTAAAATGATGTACTTTAATAAAAAATTATTGTTGTTGCAGAAATAAAAAGTATAATATTTTTCCACATAGCCACATATAAAATATTTTCCACATAGAAGTTGGGATATTTTCTGTTCATTTAATAGTAATTTGAATCTTTCTAATAAATCCTTTTATAAATAATTTCAATGAAAATTATTTTAAGAACAAATCTTGCCAATTTATAAAATAAATTATTAATAAAAACTGTTTACATAATTAAAATTATATTAAAAAGTACTGTTCATATTATCATGGAAGTTAAGATAGAGAAAACAGATTGAATAAGATTATACATACAAATGTTTTATTTGTTATTATAATGTAAAAGAAGGGAACATATTACAATGTTTATAACGTAATGTAAAAAAAGGAACATATTACAATATACATGTTCATAAATGTGTAAAAGTAAGCACCGATCTAGCACACACGATTTGAATACAAGTGCGAATATGCACCACAACGAACTTGCAAAGTTAATATTTCATTAATTTGCACGAAACTGTGCAAATTAATGAAACTGAAGCTGTGCATGTTTCGTATACCTGTTACCTGAGGTACCGGGCATATTTAACGCAGTAGGGATAATAAGTCCCGACAAATGTCTCCGTGCAAATACCAGAAATTCGAAAATTTTTTTCGCGGTACGAATTCGCACTCTTGTACCATTTGAAGGTTAAACAAAAATTATTTTTAGATCTAAATCCATCAAAATTGTTCTTTTCGTGTGTAATATTTTAATCGTAATATAATTCAGCGATTGCGTTAATCTAAAGTGTGTTTATGCAATAGCCAAATAATGAAGCAATGCACTGCGTGTGAGATGATCTAACACGCAGTGATGCAATATAAACATTCCTTTATTATCATCTATTTGCTTAAATGCATAATGGTATGTTAAACACGCGGCAAATCGACGCAGAGTTCCCGCTATTTTTTTATCGCTCAAGTTTATTTGAGCTAAGCACTTTCGTGAGTAAAGCTTTGACAAGCACAATTGCCTGCAAAATATTGCAAATATTTTCTGTACAATAATCTGTATTTAGATGTATTAAAATTTTAACGAATAATTTTAATTATTATTGATTTGTTAACATTTTGAGTGATTTAAACGTTAATGCATGTGGATATGTTGACGTCGCGCTAAAATAAAATGTATGTACGAGACGGAAATTGAAACAGAAGGAGATTGAAAAATAAACAAATGAAGAGAGAAACCATTAATCATATCAGAATCACTTTACATGGCAATTAGATTTCTTTCAACCTGTTCTTTACAAATGCTAATTTCGTCGAGGATAAAAAAAGTAGAGCATTTTTAAAGCGCGCCTATGATGCTAAACGTTGTACAATTAATATTTATAGCCAGTGGAACTATTTTAATAATTTTTGATGCGTGCTTTTGTTCAGACAATTCTTCATAATTCCTAATGTGCTTTATATTTTTTGTATTCTACAAATACACGTGAAAGAAGGAATAAGTGAGAGAGTGAGTGAGTGAGTGAGTGAGTGAGTGAGTGAGTGAGTGAGTGAGAGAGAGAGAGAGAGAGAGAGAGAGAGAGAGAGAGAGAGAGAGAGAGAGAGAGAGAGAGAGAGAGGTGTTACCGAACAAAATAAGTTAAGCCTATACATTGTGCTCCGTTAACCATTAGGAATTTACATTGCGTAAAATATTTTAATGTAATTCTTAACGCGTTACATAAAATAACTGCTTGCGTTACATAAAATAGACATTAATGATAATGAACTGCAGCGTTAAAACAATAAGGTAATTGTATATACAGTTTTTAATAATGTATATAATTTAGCATAAAATGAATTATTTATAGTAATTTTACAATTTTGTGATAATTTAATAACAATTTGTAACAATTTATAATATTATTATATATTTATGTAGCATTTTACTTATTTTGTTAGAATATATCGAAGTTTCTTCTTTTCAAAATAATCAAAATATTTGTAAAACAAATTTTTTTTAAAATCATATCTAATTCACAGTTAAGTAGAAATGGGCCTTATTTCAGTCGGACTTATAATAATAATAATAATATTAATAAAAATTTATTGCAAAAATTTATATAAACACATAAATATTATTAGGCACAAAAATCCTGCTTCGATTAAAAAAGGCTTATCTTTTACTTATTTGTGTTATTCATATATTGGTCTATTTTATTCTTTTATATTCAGTTATTTAATTGTAATAAACATAATACAAATATTTCTAATTATGACATTACGTATGCTTATTACATAAATAATTGATTAAATAATGTTTTTCTGATCGATTGTCCCACATTTGCACATAAGCAGTTAAACAGATATTGTAAGATAATGATGCAGAAAGTCATTAAATATTATATACTTGTATTTAATTTGTATTTGAGTCGGCCGATCGCATTTGTATATTACTTACAGCCTTAGCCAAAATTATAAGGCACCCCCATTATTAATGTACAATATTGATTCTAATACTAGGAACGACTTCCATTGTTTCACAGTTGTTTATGCAAAATAAAATATGCTATAAAAGATCTAATAAAGCAACTACTGACGAAAGTTTAGGATAACATTAGTTTTTTAAACTTATTATCAGTGTAATTTGAAACATTGTCGCAGTAATATCCGTTCCGCTTTTAATTAGTTTTTAAGTTTGTTGTGTAAAGTCTAAAATATTACAACCTAAAAATGCCTAGAAAAAGTGGATTTGATGAGTTCAAGCGAAGATGAATGATTTTTAAAGCAAAGTTGAAAAAATGAAAAAAAATCACAAAAATCGTGAAATATTCTTGATGTGCTATGCAAAATACTATTAAACGTTTCAAGGAGACTGGTTCCTATAAAAATAAAAAGAGAACAGAAAGAAAGAGAGTGATTACAAAACGCTAAAACCGAATTTTAGTGTGACTTTTTCTAGGCATTTTTAGGTTGTAATATTTTAGACTTTACAACGAACTTAAAAACTAATTAAAAGCGGAACGGATATTACTGCGACAATGTCTCAAATTAGACTGATAATAACTTTAAAAAACTAATGTTATTCTAAACTTTCGTCAGTAGTTGCTTTAGTAGATCTTTTATAGCATATTTTGTTTTGCATAAACTCTAATAAACAACTGTAAAACAATGGAAGTCGTTCCTAGAATTAGAATCAGTATTGTATATTAATAATGTGGGTGCCTTATAATTTTGGCCAAGGTTGTGTATTATTTTTTTACAAACAACAGGTAGTTATGTAATTATATGCGCAATTCAATTAATAGGAAACTTTTGTAATAAGATATAAATACCCAAACAAAAAGCCGTGTTTTATAAGATGTGAAAAAATATATTTGCAAATGTAATTATTTATGAAATTGTTAATATAATAAACGGAATAATTAAAAATTTGCTTTGTTCTTTCCACAAATCGTGGATTTAATTAATCTGTAATTTATAAAGAATTAATGTTTTTTTAATAAAAATATTAATTCAATCGATATCGAATTTCTTGTGTAAAAACTCATTTTTACAAAATGTTTCTTTTAACTAAAATTAAAGAGTTTACAGAGAAAAGAAAAAAAAAGAGAAATTTTTGTTATAATTCTCAACTTGCATAAATAAAACAAAATTTTACAAAGTTTTTTTAAATTAACACTTTTCGTAAGATGCGAAAAAATTACAAGTGTTCTCGAACTTATAAACAGTAGTGTACATGTCTATCTTTTATAAGATTATTTCTTACCAATATCTATAAGTTTTCTAATAATATTACACAAAAATGTTTTATCATCTAAGAAAAGCTCAAAAATACGTACGGAAAAAACGATTCTGTTAAAAGGACTAAAAATTTAGGCTGAATACAGATCTGAAAATAATTCTTGTTCAGTCATCAAAATAATTTGTAGGAAAATTAAAAATTATAAGCATTGCTATAAAACGGTGTGATATTCTAGCAATTATTGTGACTTTCCTGTAACAAAATTATTTTGATTATTGAACAAAAATTATTTTCAGATCTGCATCCAGCAAAATTGTGTTCTTTCCGTGCGAAAATATTTAATATATATAGAACTTGTAAAATCTTATCGGAGAGTTCGGCGACAACTTGCCTTTGGGTTTCATTAAAGTATCTTTGTCTAGTCGCTGTCGAACGATCTCTTCCCGTCGTCGTGAAACGCTTGCGGTTATACAAGAGTAAAATTCGCGCGGCGATCGGATACGCTGCAGTATAAAGAGAAACTTGCGGAACGGCGAAACCACCACCGGCTGTAGGCTCTTATTCGTTGCGTTTCTCAGCCGTCGCGGGATCTCGCGCGTGCATCACCATCCGCGAGAGGGACGTTCTCTAATGGGGGAGATCCCTCTTCGGCCGTGCATGCACAGCGACGCGCGACAACCGTTTAACTGCCAGACCGATTCGCCGCAAAAGTATACAGTCGGGGACGAAAGAAGTGCGAAGAAGACGATGACGACGTCGATGACGACGACGACGTCGGACTGCACACGTGTTACGCGGTGGGGCAGAGAACAGGTTCCTGAAAGAACCTGTATAATTTTCTCTCGCGAATCAACGAGAGAAAAAGCCCTCTCCCGCGCCCGCCACCCCACGCGCGGAGAACGCGGGGAAACGGACATCCCTCTCCCGTGCTTAGGAAAAATCTGACGGTGTTTTCGATCGCGCTCCCGAAGTGCACAGTAAAAAACGTTTTGTATTTATGTTGCAGAAACGGTTCACTCACGCTCTTGTTAAAATTCCACGTCGAATCTTTAACATATTTGCTTGTTAAATTATTCATAATGTGATTATGTTATTTAAATATTTTATGTTAAATTAATGTTCAATATTTCTCATTGTCAAAATAACACAATTTATAAGTAAGTGAATAAATAAAAATAAAACCGTTTCAAACCGTAAATTCTAAGACAAATGAATAAAAGAATAAATGTACTTGTTAATTTTACATGTTACAAGTATTGATTTTACTGAAGAATAATGTTTCCACAATTTGCTTCCAAATTATATTAAAGTGTTACATTTTTTTTCTATTAATTTCTACGTAATGTTTGTGTTACTTTTTAACATGTTCATCATTGCGTTAAATTAACACAAAAATTTGAGTGGACCGTTTTGGGATATGTAAATTGTGTTGAATTTAACAAGAATTTTTCAACTGTGTGGCCTTTGCTGGATGTGGCGCGAGGAAACATTTGGTTTGGCCCACAAAACTTGCACCGAAATTTCATTTCACTGGCTCGCACATTTGTATTATTTACAATCGTTCGATCCTGCGCAATTTGCACTGCAGGAGAAATTCAGACGTCATTGGGGCACTCGGCCGTTTGTGGATTCTGGACACAGGTTGAACACTGCACTCGCGTGTCACTCGGGATTTTTGCGACAGTCGCGTCGAGATTTTTGGAATCGGAATTGATCCGCCCGAAAATTAATGCACGGTGCATACCGGTTTGATCGCCGTGCCGGTTCATTAAGACGCAAGCTATACCTAAAATGCACTGCACTGTCTAGAACCGATAGAGATTTTTTTTAATAGAATGACGCAAGTTCGCACTGTCACCGATCAAAATAGGTCGCAATCCAATAAACATACACGGAAAGAACAATTTTGCTGCATCCAGATCGGAAAATAATTTTTGTTTAGTAATCAAAATAATTTTGTTGGAAAGTCAAAATTATTGCTAAGAATATTAAAACGTTTTACAGCAATGCCTATCATTTTTAACTTTCCAATAAATTATTTTGATTATTGAACAAAAATTATTTTCAGATCTGTAGTTTCAGCAAAATTTTTATAAACCTTTCAACAAAATCGTTCTTTCCGTGCAGATTATAACTACAATATTGCAACAACATTGTAACACTCAGGGAAATGTTTCCGCTATTTCAGCTAGAATTCTAAATATTACACTTAAATTATATCGCTGTTTTTCGTATCTACTAAAAAATTGTCTGTCACACGGAAAGAACACTTTTACTAAATCCAGATCTGAAAATAATTTTTGTTCAATAATCAAAATAGTTTTGTGCGAAAGTCAAAATGATTGCTAAAATATCAAAGTTTCATAGTAATGCTTATCAGTTTTAATATTCCAACAAATTATTTTGATGATTTAATAAAAAATTATTTTCAGATCTGTATTTAGCAAAATTTTTAAATCTTTCAACAAAATCGTTCTTTCCGTGCATACGCACACGGAAAGAACAATTTTGCTGAATACAAATCTGAAAATAATTTTTGTTTAATAATCAAAATAATTTTGTGCGAAAGTCAAAGTGATTACTAGAATGTCAAAACGTTTTATAGCAATGCTTATCAGTTTTAACATTCCAACAAATTATTTTGATGATTTAACAAAAAATTATTTTTAGATCTGTTTTTAGCAAAATGTTTAGATCTTTCAACAAAAGCGTTCTTTCCGTGTAAAAGTTACGGCAGCAATATTCTAAGAATATATCCAAGAAAATATAGGTCTTTATAATTAAATATGATTGGAGTCTGGATTGGAGTCTGGACTGATTAAACGTCATAGAGGAACTTTCTTGCTAAATTTGACAAATAGTTCAGATATAATTTCCGTCTCTGTTATCTATATATTGATTAAATACAAAATAATAACAATATAATAAATATAATAAACATATAATAAACATAATAATAAAAACATACATAGTAGGTATCGCAATGCTTCCTAATCGCTTATCTGTTTTAGCTAATTTTTCGTGCCTAAGTAATTTTCGCTATTATTGCAAGATTACTTTTTTCAGTGAATATTTCTGCAATACAGCTGGAATGTTGCAATGTTGCTGCAACATTGCAATTATAATGTCTGCTGGCAATGAATAACTGGTGTATTGGTGAAATTCAGAATTTTTTTCAGATTGTAAAAATCGAATGAGTGGAATACGCGAGTAACAAGGTGTCATGTCTCATCCTACGTACGTTCTGCTTTCTTCGGTGTCTTTCCGCTCGGAATCGCACCGTCGGATCCCAGCCTCCTCGCGAGTTCACCTTTCCCGAGCGCCATATCGCAAAAGTAATGTCAAAATCGGCATCGCGCCAAATGTTTTGTACATCGCCCCCGCCGGGAAGTCCTACTAGAGCTGCAGTATCACGACTCGGTAAACAGAGACGATGATAACCCGGCTGTATATAATACTTTTACGAACGATCGTCAATCGCAAATATCGACAACAACAATAACAATAACAACAACAACAAAACGTATAAATTATCGCAGTTTCGGCCCGCGACCTGCATCGTGGAGGAGATGACCAACGATCATCCCCCGTAAACCAGCCCCGTTCGGGAGAACGAATCGCCCGTTGTTGACCGAGCGCAACAAAGCGCGGCGACATGTAAATTATTCCAGTGTACGATGCGAAGTGAAATTCCAAATTCCTCAGCACATATGTAAAGTCGTTACTCACTGTTTGCTTTATGGTGCTTCGCGCAGGTGTAGCAAATTACAATCTATCTTATCTTTATGTACGGACACACGATAACTTCTCGATCTTAATTGGGGACACGCGGCTTTCGGAAGACTACCCGTGCGCGTAAATCAAAAGCACGACGATCGGAATCGCTGTCGGATATAGACGATTCAAATGTCGAAGAATTTTAGAGGTGTGCGAATCAAGCATTTGCACGGTCAAATCGAATTGAATTGAATTTTTGATAACATGTTCGAAATCGAATTGAGTCGAATCTGAAATTTTTACTTTGAATCGAATCTTTTTAATTCGAATACGAACCTCGAATCTGAATCAAATTTTCGATTTACATTACATGTTAAATTAAATGTAATAAATATCAAAATTTATGAATTACATTATTTTACGCAATGATTTAAACAAACCGAAGACCTATTTTCGATTTACAGCTCATTATAAAGGATCTTATGTGACATTTTAAGTTAGAAAATATGTAATTAATAATATGTGGATACACGAATAGTTGGAATGCTTTTGAATATTTTCTATATTAATCTACATGAATATACATTACATACATCAAAAATACTTATTTATTAGATAACAATAATTGATCGCGCGGGAGTTATAAATGAAGCAAATAAAATAGGCGATTGATTCGAAATTCTGGAATTATTCAATTTCGAATCTTATAAATTCGAAAACGAACTCGAATCAAATCCACTGTGATTCAATTCACATTCGAACTATTCGCACACCTCTAAAGAATTTATGTTATATTCCTACGAAACAGGCATTTCCGAGGAAGATAATGTTGCATTGCATTTATAATTATTTTGTAAATAAATTCTACGAGTGCCCACTTATCGCAAACGCGCATAATTGCAAATAGGTAATTATATAATCTATTGAGTCGCCTTGCATGTATTAATAAGTGTACGTCGAAGGTTTGAGTTCGTGGAACGCTTTCAAATAAGTGCCTCTTGATAAGATATTATGTTGGAATATACCAAAGTTGAATAAGTTAATATACTTTTAACCAAGTTAAGTTAAAGTTAAGAGTCTTAAAAATTCAACTCAGTTAAAAAATATAAATTAATTTATAATAAAATGAAATTAAAAGTTAAGTTAATAAAAAAAGTAATTAAAAAGTTAAAAGTTAAACATTTTTCACTTCATAATTTCAGAGTTTCTTAAATAAATAAATATAGTATAGTAAATAAAGTATATATTTTTTAAATAAATAAATATAGTATAGTAAATAAAGTATATATTTCTTAAATAAATAAATATAGTATAGTAAATAAAGTATATATTTATTATACTTATTTCCGTCGGGCCGCAGAAAGAAGACCGATTTCGGGGGACTTCTTCCAACATGATTCAATGCATAGAAGGTCCACGAACAGCGATTCCTTCCCGCGGTCAGACTATATTTATTATATTAACAACTTGCCTCGATATGCGTTCCCAAATTCGAATTTGAAGATATCAACGCAGATATGTAATTTTTTCTTGGGTTTACGTAAGAAGCACTAAAAATGTAAATAACTTCAAAGAAGTTAAACCAAAAGT